GGGAAAGGATACGAGACTAGGAAATAAGGCTCTCCTTCCTTCCTTCTTGTAATCAGGAAATTCTTCTCAAAGAAAACATGACCTGTTTTAACCTAAAATTTTGCTATCCTCTGGACTGTGCTGGCTTGAGAACATATTTCTTTTACCAAAAGATGAGTTCACAGTAAATGACTCAGAGACATATGGATGAAATTTCCCTTAAGCCACTCAGGGGATTAGAAATTAAGGGAAAGAGTGCTTGGCAAAATGCATTTGGGGTTTTGCCAAACCTAAACCAACTGAGAAATAGTTAAGACACAAGGCAGATTGCGAATGCTGCCAAGTTTACCCATCTTAGCAGGACAGGGGTATATAATTAGAGCTGCTCAGAAAGCACTGCCTCACGGGTGGCAAAGGACAGAAAAACCTTTGTCCTTAACATCTCAACGGGCTGCTCGTTCCCAGATGGACCCTTTACGATGTACACACCCTCTTAATCATCAGGGTCCACAAACCCACCTCCTGGCCACATGGTTCCTCTTTGACACCAGACCCCTGCCATTCTCTCCAGGCCAGGCTGGCTGCTTCTCACAGCGAATTAATTCCTGGATGAGGGAGAACATATCCTCACGGGTGTTCTTGAACTACAGTGAAGAGCTGTAGTGGGAAAATATAACAAAGCAATTTCCTTCTTTGACACAATGTTTTGGTCTGTCTCTTACCTTTGTCACCTTTCTACATTTCTCCGCTTTCCATGGGTTTCTTTCTCTAATAAGAAGGAATTGGATCAGCTGTTTTCAAACTGTGCTGCCTGGATCCTTTTACAGGCTTGGCTGGGCCCCCTGGAGAGAGTGAAAGGGGCTCTCTTCAGAAAGGGGAGGGGGCTCCAGCTAAAGATTTCAAATGAACCAAGGGTTAAATAATTTGAGAATTGTAAGATTGGATGAAGTCTTATGTCTCTTCTGATTACACAGTTCTGGTGTCAAATGTCACACTTCTCAGTCTCCACTCCCAACACCAAATATCACTAACGATGAGCACCAGCTTTTCTCCCCAGCATTCAGCAGAGTGCACCTGTGTGCCAGGCACTGTGCTAAGCCCTGGGCAGTTAGCAGTGAACAAAACAGACCTGGGCCCCACCCCCATGGACCTAACAGATTAGCTGGGAAGGGCGGTGTTAAACAAACAAATGAATATGTAACTCTAAATCAAGATATATATTCCATGAAAAACAAAATCATGGTTGAAGTTTCAATAGGCTTGGGGTTTGAGAGATACTGTAGAATCCTTCCTATTTAAGCCTTTCCCCCACCAGCTGGGCTTGCCACTCTATAGATTAGCTGATCATTGCTAAGTTATTGAAGGTTTCCATTAAAAATATACCTCTTCCACTTGACAGGGGAGGGTCAAGAAACACACAGCATAAAGTGGCTGATGGATCCAGCCAGCTGGTACTGCAGAAAGCAAAGAGGACAGACTTGAGAGAATAGACGTGGGGCTTTAGGTGGGCAAGGGCAGGAAGGTTTACTGCTCAGTGGGCCTGGAGGGTTATGAGAGGTTCAGAAAGGCCATGACCCAAAGTGCAAGCGAAGGCCATGCCAATGACTACCTTCACTTTTTTCACAGTTGTAACTAGGTGTCTCCTGAATATCTTTCCCCCACTTCTCACTGAGTTTAATATATATATACAGTGTTAACTTACTATTACTAAATCTTAATCCTATTGCTATTCCTTTGACTCTGTCTAGCTCTTTCTCTTTTACATTTTGTAAAGAAAAAAGGGATTAAAAAAAAAACTTCTGGAGATATTTGCATGGTTCCTACTGTAGGTAAGTGGGCAGTGCCCATGAGTTTTTGGCCTGTGGTGTACCTGACCATTTATCTGGGTGGGTGGGGGGAACTAGGCAGAAGGAGAGTTTATTGGCTTAAAGAGTTAAGACTCCTGTGGGGCACTGAATAGCAACATTTCTCCAAATCTAAACTTAGCATAAGCAAGAACCTATTGATAGGTTAACTCAGCACAGCTGTCAATCGCAACACATTCTATGACACCTGAATTTATGGAGAGAGAAGATTAAAGCCAGAGCTGGTGGAAGGGGGGTCCTCAGTAGTTTATCTCTCAGGGCCTGTGGTCCATAGGCAGGGCTTAGTGGTATTAGCTATTACTGTTCTACCAACACCATCACTACCACTACTACAACTACCACCATCACCATCACCACCATCAACACCATTACTACCACCACCACCACTACTACCACCACCACCACCACTATATCCAGTTAGACATACATTTATTTTCTCCCCTCCCCTGCCCTCTCCTCGCCTCCCCTCCCCTCCTCTCTTTTCTCTTCTCTTCTTTTTTTTGCAAATATATGCGTAACTAGTTAGCAAACTGATACCTGGTATAGAAACTTAGGAGAATTGCTGTAATAAACAATGATTTGTATTTGATATCAAATTTTTTGGTAGATAAGTAGTTATTTCTTTTCTACTTAAGCAATATTTGAAAACAGGGTTTCCTTCTGTGTCTTTGTTTACATTATCAATTTATTTAGCACACTCTTTCTGCTTAGCAGCCACCCCCACTCTCCAGGCCCTGTCCTTTTAATTAACAGCCTGTCACTGTATTTCAGTGTTTCTGTTGAGGCACACCAACTGAGCCATGAAAAGTCAAAACATATCACTTCATATAAAACAACATTTTCTGAACTTCTCATACAATTGGGCTGGTCAAATGAACCGTTTCCTGGGGACCAGAAATTGTAAGCTTATGTGAAAGATCAGAAATCAAGTGTGAAGAGGGTGAGAATGGCAAGGGGTGAGGGTAGCAAGACAGTTACAGGACCAAAAGTTGAAAGCTAGACACTTATTTTAGGCCACCTCTTTTGTGCCTTAAAGCCCCAGTTCCTCATAGCAGACACTTGACAGATGTAAATTTTCATAGGTCCATTTATGTGTTCCATCAACACGTAACGATTAACTTCTAACATATGCTTATTATGCTCTAAGGATACAGCAGTGAGCAAGGCATCTGCCCTAATGATGCTTACATACTGGCAGAGGGGAAAAAACAAAAATAAAGAAATTGCTAAATATAATTCAGATTTGATAAATGTCAGTAAGGAGTGAAGCAGGATTTGGACATAATAATAGATGATGGCGTACGTGTGTGAGTGTGTATGTGTGTTTCCATTGGCTAATTTAGTTAGCTTCATCAAAGAAGGCTGCTCGGAAGGGATGACATTTGAACAGACAGACCTGAATGAAATGAAGGGTGAGTCCTGTGAGTGTTCCTGAGCTCAAATGAAACCACACATCACCATTATTATGAACTGACCTAAGTCAGTTTGGTTACAATACACAACTATTAGGTTCTTGATAGTTGAGGATAGCTATTAAAAGAAAATTGAGCCCTAGCCAGTTTGGCTTGGTGGTTAGAGTGTTGGCCCGCAGACTGAAGGGTCTTGGGTTCAGTTCTGGTCAAGGGCACATACCTTGGTTGCAGGCTCCATCCCCGGCCCTGGTCAGGGCCCGTGCAGGAGGCAACCAATCAGTGTGTCTCACATTGATGTTTCTCTCTCTCTCTCTCTCTCTCTCTCTCTCTCTCCCACCTGCCACCCCCTCTCTCTCTCCCTTCCACTCACTCTGAAAAGCAATGGAAAAAATATCCTCGGGTGAGGATTTAAAAAAAAAAAAGAAAGAAAATTGAGGTAAATAAGGGCAAACTACTTCCCTACACCTGTCCTCCAAGTTTGTAAAGAAAGCAAATCTTCTACCAAACTCGGTTGTTGATACAGAAATTTATTAAGTTTTTTATTATCAGGTTCAAATAGTATACACAAATTGGTCAACTCAGTGGATACCCAGTACTCTGTCCTTTTAGGAGCCCTGAGTGAGACTCACTTGAAGTAGAAGCAACAGCATGTCAGAGACAGGATTCTGTTACACTGAAACTTAGCAACAGGTGAACAGAGTTCTTAACCAACGCACAGAGAGTGGACTGTACAAGATCAAGCCTCAAGACCCATCCTTAGGGTACACACTTGTGATGGTTAATTTTATGTTTCAACTTGGCTAGGCTATGGTGCCCAGCTGCTTCGTCAAACACCAAGGTGTTACTGTTACTGTGAAATCATTGATTAATACTTAAATTAGTATACTTTGTGTAAAGCAAATTACTCTTCATGATGTGGGCGGGCCTTATCCAAACAGTTGAAGGCCTTAAGAACAAAGACTAAGATGTCTTAAAGAAGAAGGAATTCAGACTCCAGACTGCAACATAGAGATTCTACCTGAGTTTCCAGCCTTTTGACTCATGAATTGACTCAAGAGTTGCAACAATAATTCTTACTTGAATTACCAGACTGCCTTGCCCTTCAGATTTTTGGACTTGCTATCCACCACAATTACATGAGCCAGTTCCTTAACATCTCTCTCTTTCTCTCTCTCTCTCCTACTGGTTCTGTTTCTCTAGAGAACCCTGACTCATACAGATTTTAGTTCTGGGAAGTGGGGTGCAGCTGTAACAAATACCTAAAAATGTGGAAGTGGCCCGGCCGGCATGGCTCAGAGGTTGAGCATTGACTTATATGATCCAGGAGATTGTGGTTCGATTCCCGGTCAGGGCACATGCCTGGGTTGCAGGCTCGATCCCCAGTGGGGGGCATGCAGGAGGCAGCCAATCAATGACTCTCATCATTGATGTTTCTATCTCTCCTTCTCCCTTTCTCTCTCTGAAATCAATAAAAATATATTTTTAAAAATAATAAATAAATAAATAAATAAGTAAAATATGGAAGTGGCTTTGGAATTGGGTAAGAATAGAAGCTGGACAAATTTAAAGTGCATGATAGAAAAAGCCTGGCTTGCCTTGAAGGGATTGTTGGTAGAAATATGAATGTTAAAGGAAATTCTGGTGAAAGCTCAGAAATAAAAGAGCTATAGAGAGTACATGTATCAACATGAACAGAATGTTGCTAGAAATATGAGTGTTGATGGTACTTCTTGTGATCTTTCAGGTATTGGGAAGCAGACAGAGACAGTCATGGAGACAAGATGATGTGAAGAGACCCAGGGAGAAGAGAGCCACCTACAAGCTAAGGAGAGAGGCCAAGAACAGATCTGTCCTCACAGCCCTCAGAAGGAAGGAACCAGCTCTGCCAACATCTGGATTTTGGACTTCTAGCTTCCAGAACTGTGTGACAATACAGATCTGTTGTTGAAGCCACCCAGTCTCTGATGCTTTGTTCCGACAGCCCCAGCACACTAATACACACCTATGAGTTTCAATGGTTTCTCACACCCCATTTGTCACCAGTCAAGTTCTCCAGGAGTAGGTGCTGAGAATATTTGGGGTACAAAATGTTTATTAGGGATCAAACCCTATAAAAGGAAGGGGCCATCATCAGAAACAAATGCAAGTGACATGACTCCAGTTAACATATATGGCCAGCTAGTCCTATTTTTGAAAAACCCCCAAAAGCTCAGCCCTGGCCAGTGTGGCTCAGTGGATAGAGTGTTGACCTGTGCTCCAAAGGGTTGCAGGTTTGATTCCAGGTCAAGGGCACATACCTGGGTTGCAGGTTCATGGCGTGTGGTGTGTGCTCAGAGAAAGAAAAAAACATCAGTGTGTCTTGATTGATTACCTCCCGCATACCCCAGCCCCGGTCAAGGCATGTGGTGTGTGGGAGGTAATCAGTCAAGACACATTGATATTTTTCTCTCTCTCTCTTTCTCTCACTCCCTCCTTTTCCTTCTCTCTAAAAAAAAAAAAAGATAAAATATCCTCGGGTGAGGATTAAAAAAAAAGGCTAAAAATAATTGAATATCAGAAAATGTTCTCTAAACTTCATTTATACCTATTACACTTATTTTTCCCTTAGTAGTTTATAAAGAGTATGGCATAATTAGGGGTTTATCTTCTTCCATATGGATGGAGCTTTATAATCTACAACTTGAACAGAATTTTTAATGCTAATAACAATATATTATTAATGTTAATAAGATAATAATACTTAGCTAGAAGAATTTAAGTTCAATAAAATTTAAGGTAATTTCTTTTAAAGGAGGGTGAAGGAATCAAGATTGGGCAGAGAGAAAAGTTGAATGATAATGTACATTCAAGGTGGCATCAAGCAAACCAGTGTTGAGCTCTGGACCGAATATTGTCCATCAGTGTTGTCTTGCGTTGCGTCAAAATGACTGGGACTTTATTCCCACCTGGCTCAGTCACTGGATAAAGGCTGGCCCAGGAAGGGGGCCTCAGGCACGGAGGCTCTACAACTGAAGCGGACCCTGAAGGAGTGGTTGGTTGGAGGTTTCTGCTGACTGCAGCCTGGCAGTGAGCCCTTTCTTGAAGAAGGAACCTGTCTACACATCTGGTGTCTACCATCTGCTCATGGAACAGTAAAAAACATTGCACTGTTAAAATATTTTAGCCAGTCTACATATCTTGAATACCTTTAATCTCATCAACAAGAGTTCATTTCTAATATCATACTTATTAACAATGAACTAATTTCAACAATAAGAATTCATTTCTGACATTCAAATGCTAATTCACAAAGCCTCAGGTGTTCAGTGAAACATCCATCACAGAAGCTCTTGAGATGGGTGCCTCTGGAGTGTGCTTTTCTGATAAAATACTAGCTGACTACCCTGGAGGGGAACTTTCCATTAGAGCAAATGGAGGCCCTTAGAGTAAAAGCTAAAGCCTAAACAAAAGATTACATGCATAATATGGCTGCCTTACTGAAGTATTTTAAAGTAAATCACAGACATCCCAACAACTTTCACTTAGATATGCTTGTCGTTGGGTCTGTGACACCTACTCTCTCATCTTGCCCAAACTGTCTTAGGGGTTATTTGGTTGCAAAGAACAGACCCTACTGGAATTAGTTGGAGTTTAATAGGGATTACTGTCAGGATACAAGGATTTGACAGGCAACTCCCAGACCAGACACTGAAATTGGCAGTGAAGCTCTTTGGACTACTCAGAATGGATCTGAGGGGTTGGGATTCTAAGTTTCCCTGCCTCTCCTCGGCTTCAGGCTCCCCTTTTCTCTGCTTTTCTTTTTGTCTGCTCCTGCCTCCTGCTTCTCTCTGCCTTTCCATTTACTCACCAGCATAGTGCCCAGTCTTGATTCTATATAACCACCATCATTTGACCGGCTCCATGTCTCTTAGGTCAATGTCTTGAGAGAGAAAAAAGGAGAAAATATAACTGGCACCACCCTGTCTATGGCCTGGGACCCCTGGAGTTAGTTGAGCTTCGTGGTCCAGTCATCTGGCCTGGGGGGTGGTATGAACAGGGTAAATGAGGCTCTTTCCAGGGGCATTGGGACGACAAATTTCCCAAGAAGAGAGTGAATAGGGGGGGCTCTGGCTAGCATCTCTGGCATGCCTACCCCAATCCTAATTACTGGTGGTGCAGTATTTTGCCAGAAAAGTCTCTCACATGCACACTCCTGTGTATGTGTGTGTATGTGCACATGTGTGCTCCCTCATACATGCACACACACCACATGTAGTAGATTAAGCCAATCCAAGAGTTACTGCCATGTATTCAAATTATAATATTCAAATATACACATAGTGTGTCTTCCTTGATTTGGTTCATAAAGAAATGTCTTTTTATTTTTCTCTGAAACCTCATCTGGTACAGATACCACCTCGATTGTAACCCAAGGAGGTCTGAATTGACTCCTCCTCAGTGATGGCTACTTCTACCAACCCTAGCTGCCATGTGGCTAGGATGGTGCAGTCTCTCCCTTACAGGCTACACACTGTCAAAGGTTGTGAGTCAAGTAGCTCATGACCAAGCCTATTCTAAAGAAGACTTTCCAAGAACACTCTGGCCATTGTCTCAGCTCTACCAACTAGACCTCAGCATAAGCTATCAACCCAGGGATTTGACTCATGAAAGCAGAGCTCTTCCTTAGCCTTGGCACATAGAAACCTCAGATTGTTCTCAGTGTTTTCTTTCACTCTTGTTGCATCATTTGGGATTGTCCAAGGACACTGGTGTGTCAACTAACCTTACCAGCTAGGCATTTTAAAGCAGACAATAGCAATGAATGGAGGAGAGCCCTGTGTTCAGCTTCCTGGAGCCACTTACTTCTGCCTAAGGCAGAGACAGGGCAGCCCTGACCAGGCTCAATAGGCTCTCTCATTCCCCATGTCCTTCCCTCCTCCCCACCTTCATATCCCTTTAACAGGGGCAGAGCCTTTATCCGCAGTCAGAGGAAATGCAGAAAATGTGGAGACCTCTCAGGCAGAAAGAACCCTGACAAATTAAAGACTTCAGAAATATTTAAAGAGAAAAGGCATATGGTTCCTTCCCAGACCCCCTTTGTCAGGGGTAGGAATAAAGGATACCTGAGTAAAAGCCTATATTTATCTGTTTCCCCCATCCCCTCAAGTTCATATACCTAGAGAGTTCCATGAATAATTAAATAAGTGTTTGCTAGAATATTCTCTCCTGAAAAGCCTGTTGGGGAAGTGTCCATATCTGAGGGCACTGAATAAAACCTTTCTCCTTTTCAGTTTTTCCTCAACCTCGCTGCCCTGGCAAGTATTCTCAAGTGCCAAGGGGTCCAGACCTGTGTGGTTAGGCCAGTAGTACTGCTCCTTGCCACATGGCCCAGGAGAACTTCACCTGGATAGGGCAGGGTCTCAGTGTTTCCAGCCCCCAGGTGTCTGTGTAGGGGTATAGGCGATTCCACATGCCAACTTTACTTGAGCCCCTCACTTGAAAAGGGACCCCCATGGCTCTCACATCAGCCATTGATTGCCCTTAGGGGTCCCCCGATGCAGAGTCCCTGGTCTGGCTGGCAAAGTCATCTGACTCCACAGGTCCCCTTCCGAGGCTTTTGCCTAGGGATCCACAGGGGTTGGGGCTTTTCTTATCTCCCCAAACAAAGCCCACAAAGGGTTCATTCACCTGTCCCCTTTTCCCACAGTCAAGTTGAATGGTTGATTGGCAAGTGCTGATGGCCCATTAGGAAGATCCCTGAGTTCAAAACACTGAAGAGCCTGTCCCCTCTCTCTGAGAGGCAGGAGCACCCAGACCCCAGAAACCCTTTCCATTCTTTACTGAGGAACAACTCCTTGCCTCCCCCTGCTCAGTGATTGACAATGGGTCTTCTTGTTATAGCAGCAAACAACAAACAAACAAAAGAAGCACAAATCAAAACCAAACCAGATTTAATTCTCAGTTCTGTAGGTTTTTTCCCTGTACCCTTCCCACACACAAACACCTTTTCCAGTTACTTTTCTTTCCAGTGAACACAGGACTAGGAACAGGAGAGGAGAGGCAGTAGGAGAGGGGGGCACCATTCTATTTTAAAGGACACATGCGCTATCTGTGTATGTGGGTGTTCTGTATGGTCCAATGATCTGGGGCAGAGGGACTACCAGTGTAGTGATCTGGATCCCAGACTCTGGAGCCCAATTGCCCAGGTCTGAATCCTGGCTCTATCACTTCCTAGATTTGTAATCTTGGGCTAGTTACTGAATTTTTCTATGCCTTGGTTTTCTCATCTAGTAAAATGGGGGATAATATTAGTACAACCATCTCACAGTGTTATTGTAGGAATAAACAAGTTAACACATATTCAGTATGTAGAACAGTGTCTGGCTCATAGAAGGAATGGATACAATGCTTGCTCTGTTATTATAGATAGTTATAATACAATATTTCTGTTTCTGTCACTATAAACTTGATCATCACAGCTTGTAATTGAGGTTAAGTCTAAATTATAATTTATTTTTAATAAATACCTGGCTACTTAAAAAAAAAAAAAAAATATTTAAAGTGGCTGAAGAAATACAGTAACTAGAGAATTCACCCATGAGTGTCTCATTAGTAGTTCTTTTGTAAAGGATAATAATTTTTGACTAGAGGGAAAAACTGCCTTCTTTTTTGTTTGTTTATGATGGTAATGTAGTTGAAAGCCTCCTAACCCTAGAATGGGGAGACCTTGACTAAATAATTGAGATGATGTAGGGCTCAGTAACTCTTGGGGGAATGGGAGAATACTGTTTTGAGGAGCTATGACACGCACAGATGATCCCCTTTGGTTCTCAGTCAGCTCTGCAATGGAGAAGGCACTGTTATTCCCACTTTGCCGATGAGGAAGCAAAGTCAGGGTAAATGGTTTAGGTGACCGATCCAGTTCACGAAGCAGGTAAGTGCCAGAGCAGGGTTCAAGGCTAAGTCTAAGGCCA